CTGAATGAGTTCTATCCCTGGCCAGGGAGCTGACCCACATGGCGCAGTAGACATCGTCTGTCTCTGTCTCACTCCCTGCCCCCCTCAGCAATGTACTTTGTTGATGGGTGTGGATCGGAGTTGTAGGGGGTGAGAGGATTCACCAGAGACAGAGGGGGGAGTAGAACAGGCAGATCGACGAAGTACACTACTGAGGGGAGCAGCGGGCGGGTCAGGAGAGGTCTGCCATGCCATGTGGTCGCCTCTGGGGCAGGCGGGGATTGAACTCATGCGGAAGTGGCTTAAGCTTCTTAGTGCAGTGCTTTAACCCGCTGTGCCACTAGGGAGGGCCTAATTATTGTTTTTTAACAGAGTAGACTTTAATTTGGGTTATTTAGAAGTGAACTCCATTTTCCTTTTATTTCAAGTTTAGCAGACTCACCCAATCAGGGAAGGGAATATGTCACTGATAATTCATATTGGGTGGCAGGATTTATATTTACTAGTGAGAAAAGAAACTGAATCTCTGAGTTAAAAGAGTTTTAGAACTTACTTGGAGTAGTTGTGATCAATTTTTTTTCATTTGGATTGAGTATAAGCATGATTAAAATTGTCTTATTTTTATGCCTGAGCTTTTTACCACTTTTAAACCTTGAAACCAGATGGAAATTTTGTTTACTTTAAACAGTTAGATGGCTCATTCAAGGAACCTTTAGGGTTGATTCAAGCAGTAGGGACACATACGGACTTTTAGGTTTTTTTTTATATATCTGGTTAACAAACATTTTTAAAATAATGGAACAAAACATTTAAACAGTGGATATTTAAATGAAGGGGAAAAATCTGACTGATTTGTTCAATTTATTTATATTTGAACTGTTGAGATTACATTCTCATTGTCAAATTGCTCTAAGATCAGTGATTAGTTTTGAAGAGTTGTGTTATTTACCAATGATTTCCCACCAAGAAAGCCAACGCAATTTCAAAATTGCATTTGAATCATGCGTTGAGTTTCTCTGTGGCTTCCTGCTTCAAGATATTTTAATAATTAAGGATCTGGTTTATTCATTGTATTTGTTTCAAAGGATATTGAGAAGGCACACTTAAGAAAAGAAATAAAGGGGTCATCCATGTGAAATTAGTAGCTGGATTTGGCTCTGTGAGAAAATTTCTTGTCCACTAAATTGCAGATATTTAAGCTGAAGAGGGCATTTTAGTATGAAATAAAATATAATCACGCTTCTGCTGAATATTCCTCAGTTCTAAGAACAATTCAGGATCTTGAAATATTGATACTGTCATTAAGTTGTTCAAAGTTAGTCAGCAATGAGCATTCTATTTTAACTCTGCCATTCCATGTGAGTAAAATTGATAAAATTTTGTAGATTATTATTGTGTTACTACCCAAATTGATTTTGCCAATATTGATTATTTTAAACTTTGGACCCTTAACACAAATAATAGATAAAATAATTTAGCTTTAGTGATTTCTGATCATGTATTTAAATGCTGAAGAAATTTGGGCATTAAACAAAGAATGAGGGGGCCTTCCTGGTGGCACAGAGGTTAAAAGTTTCAGTGCTATCAAGCTATCACCAGTCACTACTGAATGAGTTCTATCCCTGGCCAGGGAGCTGACCCACATGGCGCAGTAGACATCGTCTGTCTCTGTCTCACTCCCTGCCCCCCTCAGCAATGTATTTCAGTAGATCCACCTGTTTTGCTGTCCTCTGTGTCTCTGGTGAGTCATCTCACCCTCCCCAGAGCCCTCCTCCCCGAAACTCTGGCCTACATCCCAGTTTTTGTATACATAAGTAAATAAAATAAAATCTTTTAAAAAAGTAAGTAAGGGGTGGGGAAATTTAATGTGGTAAACTAAGCAGGAAAGTATTATGACAGGGTAGTTTAGACACATTTCTTAGAATTGTATTTTTTAAAAGAAAAACAGGTTCGTGTATTTTTCTCTGAAAATGACTACTTCATCATTTTCCAAATCCTGTTTTGAGGAATACTATATTGTTCAATGACATATTAATAGCTATTCAGAGAAGACAAGTAAAAAGGGTTATGCAGTCAAAGAAACTTAGAAAACACTTGGGTTGAGCAGAATGAAATAATTTTGTTGTGTCAGTGTTTTTTTGCATTTTAAATGTTTATTGTGAAACCAAGTCTAGCACTGGTTTTGTTCCTGGAGGATAAATATCAGAATAGCTTGGATACATTTTCCAAACAACATTCTCATTTCTTTCTATCCCCTTTTATGTGTTTTATAGTTTGAATTGTTCCTCAGGTGATCTGATAACAGCCTCATGTCAAGTTGAGAACTGCTGAGATAGCTTATACAGGCTTTCCCAATTTCTTTGACCACAGATTACTTCTTTTGGAAACTATATATAACATTTCAAGAATTAGAAAAACATTTTGAGAGGCTAGAGGCCATTGTAAAGCCTTCAAAAGTAAATTATAGTTTTTGTTCTGCCAAGTAATTGTGAAAAAACTTTTTGAAACACTTCCCTTGGCTTTTGTGATAGTGTCCTCTTCTGGGTAGCCTCCTAATCTTTTGACCATAATTACAGTTTTTCATTTTTAGTATATTCAAACGTTGATAGGCTTCATATTTTTCTCAGAAATGACAACAAAAATCTTAACTTCTTAATGTTATGTTTCGGTGTGTGTACAAACATTTGTCTAGAAACATTATTAAACATTATGTAAAATAAACAAATATGTAATAATGGTAACTTGCTAAATTTGGTTAGTTAAACTGAAATGACTTTGATTTCAGAATGTGTATGTCTATATATGTGTAACTTTTTATATTTGCTACACAGAAGTTTCAAGATATTGAAGAAACTCACCTCATTCATATAAAGGAAATTATAGAATCCTTGTCAAATGCTATAAAGGAAATCCATTTGCAAATAGGCCAGGTAAAATTTTACTTTTATTGAGCTGATTCATGAAAATTTTATGTTCACTTTTGACTTTTTAAAAACACAAAACTCACAATACTGTATTTTTTCAGAGAAAGAATATGTACTTAACATGTATTAAATATAAAGAATATTTCACTGAATACTGATAATTCAAATTAATTTTAATAATCAGTGATATCAGTCTTTATATTAGAATTTTTTGAAATTTCTTTGGTAAAGTTACACTATTTTTAAATATTCAGCAGTAGCTTCAGGAAGTTTTCAAACATATACTTAGAAATTTTCCAAAAATACAAGGTTTAACAGTGATATTTTGGGGTATATTGAAACACAGTAGAGAAAAGTGAAGTGTGCTATTTATTATTAAAAATCTTAAACTTTATTGTCTATATACATTACATTTATCATACAAGTTATCTCTTTAAAAGATTTAAAAATGGGAATAGGAAATACCTTTGTTGCTAAGATTGTGAGCCAGATATTAAGGGGCTCATGTGAACAGTAGATGGTACTCATAAATCTACTAACATTGTAAATTCGACAGCAGAATTTTGTTATATTGTAAATTAGGCAAATGGAAAGTTGTAAAAGATTCTGGATCAACACGTTTTGATGTAATGCATTTTAATTTCTTGTAGAAGTTTTATCTGAAGTATAGTAAGAGTATTTATGGAAAAATAAAAATATTGTCTTTATTTAATTTTAATAGGTTCATGAAGAATTTATAAATAACATGGCTAATACTACAGTTGAAAGCTTGATACAAAAGTTTGCTGAGTCAAAAGGCACTGGGAAGGAAAGACCTGGTAAGATGAACCCTACAAGGAAACTTACAGATCTCCAGTCAGTAATAAATGTATTTTGTGTATTTGCCTTTAAATTCCAAAACTGCAAAGTGAAGTTTGGGGAATACCTAAAAATCTGTGTAAAATCTCATGTATTTACTTTGTGTCTGATGATCTGTTAATGATTTTTATTTTGATGTTTAGAGCTTAATAATTTAGTATAACTGAAATGGTTGCTATAACCTTTACTAAATTAATATATTGCAGTTTATTTATGTCTTTGAGAGTAGAGCTAGCTGCAGAGGGTTATTTTAATAAGAGAAAGAGTATGGAGAGAAGACTGAGCCCTCAGCAATGAGGTCAACATAGAATCCTTCTTAATATGTAATGATGTTCATTCACGTATATATTCAAAAAATATATTGAGTGTTAACAGTATTGCAGCACTGTTTTAGACACTGGGGATGTACTGTGAACAAATGAATACCAAAATCGTGATTTAACAAATGATTATAGGTATTCTGAATCTTACTTTTAATAAGCATGTATTTTTAATTTTTCATATACTTTCATTTATATGTAATGTAGTAAATAACCCATTCCTTTCTAATTTTTCATATACTTTCATTTATATGAAATGTACTAAGTAGCCCATTCCTTTCCCCACTTCAGCATGCGTATAGTCTTCCACATTCCTTGTTCTTACAAGGTATTTGTTTCACTCTCCAAGTAAAAATAATTCACTTCAATTGAGATGTTAAAGATAAAATTTATGAAAATGATTAAGACATTTGTAGAGAAATCTGGAATCCATTTTTCTTCCATGTAGTTCATAGAACTGTGGCTTGAAATGTCAGTCATCTTCACTTTTTTCTTCCCACATTTCAAGTCTTATTGATTGAGTTATCTGGTGTTCTCTTCACACCTTCCCATCCCTGTTACTTCTATCAAAAAATGCCAAGGAACTGTATAGATTTCATTGAAAAGATGGGTATATAATGGTAAGATTATTAGGATGTTAAAGAGGTTGAAATGGATGAGCTGCTGTTAGGAAAGCATTAGTGATCAAATAGTAGCCAACTGTGGTTAAAGTTTAGTGAGCTTTTACTTTGTGCAATGTACTATGTCAACCAGTTTTCAGGTGCACTTTGATCTTTAGTAACTCTTTCAGTATTTTATAGGTGTGGGAAATGTTTACATATTAAATGATTTGACTTTGCTAGTATATGCCAAAGCTGAATTCTTGAACCAGTGTCTCTATACTTTGGAGAAATTAAAATATAACTAAGTAATTTTATGGCCCTCGAAAGAATGAGGATCTTAAGATACATGACTATAGAATAGTGCAAAACCTAAATTTATTTGTAAAGAGATTAAATTGTAGATTAATAGATTAGGTAAAAACAGTTTGGGGTAGGGCTCTCTCTGGTGGTGCAGCGGGTTAAAGCACCGCATTATGAAGCTCTCTGAAGCCACTGCAGCACCACTTCAATCACAGCCAGGGAGCTGACCCACATGGTGTGGCAGATCTCTCCTGATCTGCTTGCTGCTCCCCTCAGTAGTATACTTCTTCAATCTGCCTGTTCTGCTCCCCACTTTGTCTCTGGTGAATCCTCTCACCTACCACACCTCTGGTCTGTATATCAGTTCTGTAAGCATAAATATCTTCAAAAAGAAAACCACAGTTTGGAGTAGCAGCTCTTTTGCCCACCTGTGACTATGCAGATGTTTCTCTCTCTCTCTTTTTTCCCCCAAGATTTATTTATGCATACAGAACTGGGGTACAGACCAGAGGTGCAAGGATCGTGAGAGGATTCACCAGAGACAGATTGGGGAGCAGAAGAGGGAGATCAACAAAGTTCACTGCTGAGGAGAGCAGCCGGTGGGTCAGGAGAAGTCTGCCATACTGTGTGGGTCACCTCTGGGGCCAGGGGTCCAGCTCACACTCAGATAGCTGCAGCTAGCTTGCAGTGCTGCACCCTAAACCATTGCACCACCAGGGAGGGTTTTCTCTCTCTCTCTCTTTTTTTTTTTTTTTGCCTCTCTCTCTTTTTTTAAAGATTTATTTATTTATGCATACAAGAGCTGGGGAGTAGGCCAGAGTGTGTGGGTGACTCTCACCCAGCAGATTAATAGTGGGGAGCGTAACAGGCAGGTTGACTGAAATGCACTGCTGAGGGGAGCAGTGGGCAAGACAGGAAAGGTCCTCTGCGCCTTGTGGGTCCCAGGTGTTTTTCTTCATTGACCTTCTACCTTAATAAAGCTGCAGAGCAACTCTCCTCCAAGGCTGCCCGCCAGGACTATGCGGGCCTGTCCTTTAACAAACCTGTCCTTTTCCAGGGCAGTTCTTTCTGCCTGTTTGTTGCTGTGTAAGTGTCCTTTATTCTTTTTATAATAAGCCTGCCCTTTTGGATATTGAAAAGCAATTGGGAACACATAGAATTTTTATATAGACCATTTAAAAGTCCTTAGAAATCTGTTAATAATAAGAAATAACTAGAAGAATAATTAGAAATCTGTTTTATTGTGTCATTATCAGTGTCTTGGCAGTGATACTGTATTATAGCTTTGCAAAATATTATAGAAAACTGGGCAAAGTGTATGAAGAGTTCCCTGTATTTTTAAAAAACAACCATATGTAAATCTATAATTATCTTAATAAAATTTTCAATTTAAAATATACCTTAGAACACTTAGTGCACTTAGGGCACTTGAGCTGAAATGAGACCTAAATTGATTAACTGTATCTTTTTCGCTCCTGAGTTATGAATAATCCAGTGTATTGAAGCAAAAAGAAAAAGGAAATCAGCTTTAACTGGATTAATATTTCCCTTAAAGTGTTGAACCACAGAATGATTGAAACATAAAAGATACAAAGCAAGCCACTTTATTTATTTATGCATTCAGAACTGGGGAACAGGCCAGAGATGCAAGGCAGGTGAGAGGATTCACCAGAGACAGAATGGGGAGCAGAATAGGCAGATCAACAGAGTACACTGCTGAGGGGAGCAGCAGGCAGGTCAGGAGAAGTCTGCTGCGCCATGTGGGTCACCTCTGGGATGGGGATCGAACTCATGCTAAAGTGGCTTTAGCTTCTTAGTGCTGTGCTTTAACCTGCTGCGCCACCAGGGAGGGCCAAGCCACTTTATTTTGATTGTCATTTTTTAGTGACACTTTATTTCCTATGTAATTGCCCACTTTTCCAGCTTCCAGGAATTTTACTGCTCTTTTGCTTATATGCCAGTGTCATTTCCTAAGATATTATTGCTCAGTCCAGGACTTACAAGTATACTGTGTGTCTCTGCTTTTACTGGTAGCATTAGATATTGTTATTAAATTGTTGCTTTTTTTTTTTTTTTGCTCATTGGAGGCCTCTCTTTCTCATCCCATTGCAGACAGTCAGTGGCAGTACTGAGAGTTGACATTCAAATTGAAAACTGTCATCTCTGCCTTAGTTTAATAGAGGCTTTTTTTTTTAAGTGTTAGCCTATTTTTAACTAGCTTAAAGTAAGGTAATGCTTTGTCTTTTACAATCTTGAAGGATTGGAATGGAGTCAATACCAAATGGATGGCATCACAGGAATATGTTTCACTCTTTTGTTTCTGCTTGTCTCTACTTGACTTCAGCTTTTAAAACTTCTGCTGTAGCCTTTTTTCACATTGTAGGGAAGGAAAGCAGCAACAACCCCAGGCCTCTGGGTTTAGTTTAGGACCCCAGTATTAACATATAAATTTTGGGGAAATTTTTTGTGTGCTTATTATTTAATTAATCATTGTGCTTAGTAAGGTGTATTTTAAGATTGTTTAAATAGGTCATATGCCCAATACATAGGGTTGTAGGTTATGTATCTTGAAAAAGTGATACAAAAATATTTTCTGGCAGACATAAATAATTACTATAAGATTTTGTGGTATCTGTGTACAAAATTCATAGAGACCAAACCTAAAAATACTACTGTAAACTAGGGTAGTTTGTAAATGTGTTGCAGGTGTAGGATTTAGCATGTTATTAATACTTAAATAAGAAAATTCAGTTTAGGAAACAAAGGTTTACTTTATAATTAAATAAACTAGAGGGAAGTTACAGTACAATCATGGAATTTTATTGTGTAAGGGATCCTTAAAATTATCTAGTCCAAACTGGTTCACTTAACACAGAGGCAGGTTGAAACTTATCAAATATGTATATATTCCTATATATGCATGACACTACTTAATTGTATCACTTAATATGGACTGCAGGTGAATTACAGTTTTATCACTTCTCAAATTTTGCTAGGCCAGCTTACAGGGATCTTTAAACCCTTATTTATAATAATGTCATACATGCTCATTTGCTCGTACATTCTCTATGGGGAAAAAAAATACCACCATATATGCAATTTTATAAATTCTCTTCATTAGGTATTTAAAATAATTCTGAGTCAGAAATTGTCTTTAGATTCCTTCCTTGACTTTTAAACATCTGAACATGTAAATTAAGTTTATTTTCTTATGTGTGATACAACACAATACTTAGCCTTGTAGTTTGTGGCCTGCTTTTTACTAGCAGTGAGACATTTACGTTTCATACCCTCTTGTGTAAAGTGGGGATGATAATAGTACTTAACCTTATGTGCTTGTTGTGAGGTTTACTTGACATAAGGTAAATTATTGAGTATTTAATAAATGTTACTTTAAACAGTTAACAGGGGCCTCCCTGGTGGCCTAGGGGTTAAGTCTGGGTGCTTTCACTACTAGACCTGAGTTCAGTCCTTGATCAAGGGAGCTTGTCCACATACGGCACAAATGACTTTCCTTTCTTGCTCTTTGCTCCCCTTAGCAGTGTATTTCAGTAAACCTGTCTGCTTCCCCACCCCCCTCCCCCCATCTCTGGTGAATCCTCTCACCTCCTGCACCTCTGGCTTACACCCCAGCTCTTCTAAGCAAAAAAAAAAGTTAATACATTCCTGATTAATAGGCATCTACTAATGAATATTTTCTCTTTATAAATTTAATTTTGCCCCAAGAAGTACTGAGAC